TGCATTTCATAAAAGGGTCACAATCTCAGTGAATGCTTTTTAGACACAAATGCCTGTAATCAAAGCACAGAGCAAAGTTTGTCTATCCTTCACCAAACAACTAAAAAAAATGTTTTTAAGTACTATAACTCATTCATTTGCTAATGACTTTTCCCTGTAAGGGGTAGCTTAACTCTGCTCAGCTTTAATTGTAATAAAAAATTTCATTTAGGCTTTCTCCCTGCTCTCCATATTGAAAATGAACCATTCTACAGATTGAGAAAGAATGAAGCATTTTTGGAATAAAAGGCAATTTCCCATGTTAAAGTATTCTGGGCAAGTTCAGTATTTCCCTATTCTTTACATCCCCAAAATGTAAGAAACTCATCTGAAGCAATCCAAATACCTTAAACTCCATTTACAAAATAAATCAAAGAGTTATTCTTTACCCCCACAAAACCATTTATCAAAAGATTGAACCCAAGATGATTTTTATTCAGTAGCACCTACTCTCAAACCCATTTAAATGTAGATGCTCTTTAAACAGCTTTTCAGAAACCAGAAGAACTTTGTTTTTGTTGTTGTTTACATATGTTTTTATTGATTTTTTTAGAGAGAGAAACATTGATTGGCTGCCTCCTGCACACCGTATACTGGAGATCAAGCCTGAAACCTGGGCATGTGCCCCGACCGGGATTCTTTTTTTTTTTTTTTTTTTCAAATCTTTATTGTTGGATATAAAATGTATTACAGATGTTCCACATTTTTCCCCCATTGACCCCTCCTCCCCACTCCCGCCCCCCTCCCACCTTTTCCCACACTATTGTCTGTGTTCATTGGTTATGCATATAAGTTCTTTAGTTTATTTCTTCCCACCCCCCCAACCCCTTTCCCTTTGAGGTTTGTCAGTCCAGCAATGAATTTGTACTTCTTAATCCCTTCACCTTTTTCACCCATTCCCCCAACCCCCTTCCCAACTGGCAACCAACAAAATGTTCTCTGTATCTATGAGAATGTTTCTGTTCTTCCTGTTCATTTTGTTTGTAGACTCCATTGTCGATAGATATGTATTCATTGCCATTTTGTTTGTTCATACATTTTATCTTTTTCTTCAAAAAGACCCTTCATCATTTCATATAATAACGGTTTGGTAGTGATGAACTCTTTTAACTTTTTCTTGTCTGGGAAAGTTTTTGTATGTCCATCGATTCTAAATGACAGCTTTGCAGGATAGAGTAATTTTGGTTGTAGGTTCTTGGTTTTCATCACTCTGAATATTTCTTGCCACTCCCTTCTGGCCTGCAAAGTTTCTTTTGAGAAATCAGCTGACAGCCTAATGGGAACTCCCTTGTAGGTAACTAGCTGCCTTTCTCTTGCTGCTTTTAAGATTCTCTCTTTGTCTTGAACCTTTTGCATTTTGATGATGATGTGTCTTGGTGTGTGCCTCTTGGGGTTCATCTTGTTTGGGACTCTCTGTGCTTCCTGGACTTGTATCCGACCGGGATTCTTACTGGGACATCTCAGTCCATGGGATGACGTTCAATCTACTGAGCCACACGAGCCTAGGCAGAAACCAGAAGAATTTTGTAAGAGCCAAGAAGGAATGATGAATGAGCCCAACACCTTAATTTTGTGGTGAGGAAACTAAGGCTTAGAAATTGATATGAACTCTCAAAGCTACCTAATGACAACAGCTAGGACTTATCAAGGGCCCACACAACACTTCACCACTTCCACTGTGTCAAAGCCACCATTGTATCTCACTTGGACTGGTGGAGGAGCCCTCTAAGGCCTGCTTTAGCCCTGCCTCCCACACACCATCCTCCTCGCAAAGGCTGGCCAGTCCACACAGCAGCCAGAGGGTTGCATCTACAACAGAAGGCAAACTATGTCTCTCCTTTGTTGAGAAACCTCCAAGGTCTTCCTAGCTCTCCTGAGTAAAAGCCAATCTTCACATGGTCTACATGGCTTATTTCATTCCGAATTACTTATCTCTTCAGTTGCTGAACCCTAGCTGCACCCAACACTTTCTTCATATACTTAACCCGGGGGACTTTGCCCTTGTAGCTCCCTCTGCTAGCAACTTCTTCCAGACTTCCAGATGACTCCCTCCCTCCCTCCCTTTAGAAATTTTCTTAAACATCACTTTTCCATAGGTGGCCTTCCTGACCACCCTATGCCTCACCTCCTATCTCTCTCTCTCTCCCACCTTACTTGCTTTACTATTTTTTCTAAAAATTTTACCAGCTGCTTTATTATATATTTATTTACTGACTGCCTTTCCCCACTAGAATGTAAGCTTAACAAAAAAAATCCCTGCTGGATCCCCAGTGCCAGGCAAGTGGCAGGTGCTCAGTGTTTTTGGAGTAAGTGCTTACTCTGTGTCAGGTACTACTCTAAGAAAGATACAGGAACCAACTTACTCCCCAATAAATGAGATAGGCACTATCTTCATTATCACCATTGTCATCTCTGATTCATAGATGAAGAAACAGAGTCACAGGGAAGTTGAGTAATTTGTCCAAAATCACCCAGCTAGTCAATGGCAGAGCTGGGATTTGAACACAGGGCACGCACTCTTTAACCATCATGATGTATTTGTCACTCTTAGCTTAGCTAATGACAATTTCAATGACACCAGACTCTCAGAAATTGAGATATACTGAAGTACACTTTCAAAATGTCAATAGTTTTCTATAACTGCCTCATTTTTTAAGTAATCGATAAAGTTCGATTTTGAGCTAAGACTGGTAACAAAAGCAAAACTGTGAGCCACAGCTGTGCGGTACTTCAGCAGTTAATTCAGAGAACACAGAGATGACTGTGGTTTACAGGCGTGTGCAGGTAATTCTCCCTACTCGGCTGGGATTACCACAATTAGCTCTGGTGCATAAAGGGAAAGCTAAAACACAAAAGCCGCAGTGATGTTCCAGGCCACACTGCCAGCATCAGTGGCTGGAAGGGAGCCACTGAGGGCCCCTCTGGAATTGCAGTAGGTCACACATGCTCTCTACTTATTAGTGTAAAACACCCCGATGATTCACACAATGAAATGTTTCAGCCAAGATGTCACTTATCACCTGTTAGAGGATATGTTGTTGAGGATATTTTTCCCATTGATTTTTATTTTCAGATAGAGTGGGAGGAACAAAGGGAGGGAAGAAGGAGAGAGAGAGAGAGAGAGAGAGAGAGAGAGAGAGACGGATGTGAGAGAGACACCACTCTTTGGTCCATGGGCTGATGCTCTAATCGCTGAGCCAAACTGTCCAGGGCTTGATAAGCTTTATCTGAGAATTTACATAATCAACCTCATGTGGAAATGCCATAAAGGAATTTGTGCCTTGGAATAAAGAAGGGTGTACCCCCTGTAAATTATTCCACAAAGGTTTTCAATGACAAATTTACTATCCTAGACTGGGCAGGTGTCTTGTAAAACACAGGGCCCAGCGGAGGCTCTTTGAGGACAGACACAGCGCCCAGTTCAATTTGGTAAGACTTTAAGCCAGACCTCTGCCTGAAAGAGCCTCCAGGATCCCCAGGCTTGCCCATCCTTCCACAGCAGAGGCCTGTTCTTTATCTAATCTCCTGGGATATAACGTACCGTCCGTGAATCCTCTCTGCCTCTGGCTTCTGGGTCAAATATTTACTTATGCAAGCCTAGAGACCTTTCATTACCATTTTACCCTAGAGAGTCCAATGACTCTTTCCTCTCACTTTTTTTGAATTCTCTGAAAGAAATCATTCTCTGAGAGAAATCTTGAGCTTTAGAATAACAACACCCCCACCTCACTCCCACACACAGTTTTCCCTTGGCCTCAGCCTCCACTGTCCTACCTGCCCCAGGACGTGGCCAAAGAAGGAAGGGGGTTGGCTGGAAGGGAGGAGCTGGGATGTCACAAGCACCTGTCACCTGGCAAGCCCCCTCACTTCCCCATCACCCCCAGCCCTACCCATCCTCACTCCCGGGAGGGCCGACAAGGCCCTCGCCCTCCCGCAGGCCTGTACCAGACAGGCCCGTCCCTCCCGCCCCAGCCTCCTGCCACCGTCCAATGGCCGAGGGGCAGGGCAAGCTGAGCAAGCCGTGGCAGCCCTGGCGGGTCCCCGCCCTGTTCCCGGTTCTGGAGCTGGACTCCGGTGGCCTTTAAATGCCGCCCAGGGCCGGTGTGGTGCGGCCCTTGCCACCTTTCTTGTTCCGGCGGCGACAGCAGCACCCTGAGACAGAAAGCAGCCCAACTCGTCAGCCGCTGTCCGGGCAGCAGTGGCCACCTCCGACCTCAGGCCAGCGCCGCCTCTCCCTCCCCTCCCCCACCTCCCAGGCCTGCCAGCCAGGTCGGCGCGAGGGCCCCGGGCGTGCGCGCGCTCGCGCGCCCCCGCGTGAGTGTGCGTGCCCGAGCCATTCTCGGACCCGCGCCCCCGCCCGGCGCAGGACCGCCCCGGGATCCCCGCCCGCACGCGCGTCCCAGGTCCCCCGCCGCCCGGCCTGCAGCCGTGCACCCTGCCCCGCTCTGCAAGAAGATGGCGGGATCAGTGGCCGACAGTGATGCCGTAGTGGTGAGTGTGGCGGGGCACTCGCGAGGCGCCCCCTTCCCGCGGTCCCCCACGCTGCTCCGCTTGCTCCAGCCGAGCTGCGGCGGAGAGGAGCTAAGGCCCAGCCAGGCACCCCGCGTGGGAAGGCGCCCGGTACCTGTTAGCAGGAGCCGCTGTGCGGGCCGGCGTGGGGACGGAAGGGGTGTCTGGGGCTGGGGGGGGGGGCGCCGGCCCGGGGGAGGGTGTTTGGGGGTGGACGGCGGGATAGGGTAACCGACAGCCCCCTCCGTGCCGTGCAGCCCCCGGCCAGGTGTGTGCACGTTGCACATGTGAGGGTGCGTTTGCGTGAGTGTGTTGGGGCGCGCGCACCCCGCGTCCGCCCCCGACCGGGGATTCCCCCTTGGAAATGGGTCCGCGCCGGCTCGCGGCTCCCCAGAGAAGTTGTGCGCGGCCGCTCCACTCCAGCCACGTCCCGGCGGACAGGCCTGGGAGACAGCCGGTCCAGATGCGTTTGCGGTTGGCGAGGGGCCTGCCCTCCTCCAGCCCTGGGTTCTGGCTTCCCCGTCTGCCTCGACCTTGATTTTGATCTAGATCTGAAGGGTCTGGAGATCTTTAGAGGCTTAGCTACCTGGTGGAAAGGACGGGTTTTGTTCCGGGGGTTTCTGCAGTTACTCAAAGACTGTGAGGCGGCAGCATCTGCAGACGCTGCCTATGTCTGTAAGGGCTGCTGGATTCTGCCAGATTTGTGTAGGTTCTTCCCGGCTCCCTTCCTTACCCCACACCCCAATCCCCCAAAACGATAGCCTTTGGAAAGCCAATCTGTGTGCTTCTATTTTTAGAAACTAGATGATGGACATTTAAACAACTCCTTGGGCTCTCCAGTTCAAGCCGACGTGTATTTCCCACGACTGGTAAATGATTTTTTTTTTGTGCTCTGTGTCTGCCGGTACCCTCTTCCTTTCTAATTGCATTTTCTAATGGATCAGGTCCTCAGGATCTGAGGGCTTGGCTCTTCCCTAATAGGCTGTAAACTTACTGTTTTCCCTCTCACTTTTTGCAGATAGTTCCATTTTGTGGACATATTAAAGGTGGCATGAGACCAGGCAAAAAGGTGTTAGTGATGGGCATCGTTGACCTCAACCCTGAGAGGTAAGGCAGAGCTATTTGGCAGTTACAAGGCCCTGCCCACTCCTATTTACTGCTCCTCCTTTTCCTCTCCCTGTGTTGCTAGTTGGAAGTGCCAAGAAAGTACCATGTTCCCATGAAAAGAATGTGTATGAACCCCAGCCATCATTTCTCCAGACAGCTATTTATATCAGAGATTATAAATATAGGCCCACATCATTTTCTCTTTGACCCTTAGGGAGTCCAAAGGATTTATTTTTTATTTTTTATTTTTTTTTTATGGCTTTTAAACATGATGCTTGGAGTGAGAACCATCAATACAAATGAGAACCAAATGTGTGAGATATTATTTCCCCTAGTCAGTTTTGGGGACTGTTTTTGAGAATTCTGAAATGGATTAAGATACAGATGTGTGGGTGGTTTGAGGTATCTGAAAACCTCAGTGTTAAGTCATTTTCAACTCCACCAAAGCCTCCTTTATGTAGCAAAATAACTGGTTTGGTTGTAATTCTACTTCTCCATACCTAGTCTAACCTCCTATGTAAAGAGTAGTGTCCCATTAAAAGCAGACAAATCTCAAGAAGAAGGAGAAAATATGGGAGCCTGGGTTGTTAAATGTTATTATATCCAACTCTGAATAAATGAGATTATTTTTTTGCCAGCTTTGCCATCAGCTTGACCTGTGGTGACTCTGAAGATCCTCCGGCTGATGTGGCAATTGAACTCAAAGCTGTGTTTACAGACCGGCAGCTACTCAGAAATTCTTGTATATCAGGCGAAAGGGGTGAAGAACAGTCAGCAATTCCTTACTTTCCATTCATCCCAGACCAGCCATTCAGGGTGAGTACCTCGAGTGCTTCAGCTTCAGCCACTGGCATGGCGATGATGTTTTCCTCCTCTAGTGTGTGCCAAGAACACTTTAAGCAGCCAGAATTTTTGCATGTCCAGGAAATTTGTCATCCGCTAGTGAAAAAGATCAAAAGAGATCTGTTTGCTGATAGGAATTAATATTCTCCATGGTAGCTCTTGGTTCTATTTAGCCAATGCATTTAGTAAATAAATTCATATTCACATGTCCTGATTGTTAAGAATGTTTTTCTGTATAGAGCTTAACATAGGACTAGACATATAATAGAAAACTGCCTCAAAATTGTTGGTTGATTAATAAATAAGAATTTTTCTCATTTTTTCCTCAAGAAGCACTAAACCTTATTAGTTATGACTTTTTAAAGACTATAGTGATATCACTTTATTTTCTCAAGGCCTGGCTATGCCTTTGTTTCTCCCAATGGGTTAAGTAGCCTCAGCGTATTTCATTGTCACAGGTTGCATGGCTGACCATTTCTTTCCCTTGGGCCCAAATGAGTATAGATTTGCTCCCCACTATCTAGCAGGCAGGAAGCTCAGTTCAAAATTCCCGTCCAATTAAACTACATTAGCAACACCTTCCTCTACAAACGACAACACCAAATAAGAGATGCAAGTCTGTAATGAGTTAAGAAAGGATTTACTGAAATGTCAGACCTGGTGATGACATTGTCCACATTATACCTTGCTAACAAAAATCACAATAATGACAACTCAGTTAAAAGCTCTGTGTTACTTGTTACTTATACTCCTAATAAAGCAGAATTACCTACATGTTGCTCTTCATCTAGAAATTTACAAGGGCCTTATGGAGAAGTAATTATTTTTCTTCCCATCTTACAATCTGGGGAGGAAATTAGAATTCATGACATTTCGCATCAGTGATAGAATTGAGATTGTTGCCCTTCTAATCATAGTCTGGGGGAGGCTCCCCTCCCCATAATCCTGCCCTCCCCTTTCTCTAGGATGGTAGTGGCCCCTTCGGCTCCTCTTGACAGTGGCAGTTTCTTAATTATGAATCTTAATGCATAGCTCATGAGTGTGAGTAACCAGAGTTTCTGACTGCCAAGAGGAGTATAATGCTCCTTGACAACAAAATCAAAATGAAGTCGGCCTTTCTTGGTGATATAATTTTAGTAATAATATGAATTAAATATGACTAATATCACATATGGAGTCTCTCTTTGCATGGTGAATACCAATGCTTTTAATAAATACCAATGCTTTTAATAAAGACATAGCACAGAAGCAGTGGTTAAACTCTATAGTGAATTACTTAAGGAAAAGAGGAAGAAAGGTTTTTACTGTATGGAATCAGTATTTCTGTTTGGCTTAACAAAGCCTTGTTAATTATACATCCTTGGTCCAATGGTAATTACTGTGTAACCTCTTTGCTTTAGTGTTTACCAGGTTTGAGTGTCTAGACTATTATTACATGCTACTAGTGGGTGTCAGTTCTGCTTTGTGAGAGGCTCCTCTGAAGGTGGGATAGATTGTTCAGGGGGATGACAGTAGAGGCATTAAGTGCCATATAAATAAAGCTATGCTACCTCCACTCTCTGGAGTGCAATGAGAAGGGAGAAAGGTGAAAGCATGAGCAATTTTAAATCTTTAAAGGATATTGAAATAATGTAGAACAATGGTTGACAAAGTGTGTTCCTCCTTCCAGCAAAAGCAGCGTCCACTTGGAAGCTGGTGGAAATGTAGATTTTTAGATTTTACCCTAGACTTACTAAAATGAAAACTTTGGAGGTTGAGCCCAGCCGTCTGTGTTCTAACAAACCTTCTCTGTGATTCCAGTGCACTCCAACACGTGAGAACCGCTGAAGAGGTTGCCTTTCTTTGTCTAACGTGAAGTATTGTTTGTTTGTTTTCCCCAGCAGGGTTCATTGAATTTGTGAACTGAGATTATTATTTTGCTTCTTCCAGGTGGAAATTCTCTGTGAGCACCCACGTTTCAGAGTGTTTGTGGATGGACATCAACTTTTTGATTTTTACCACCGCGTTCAAACGTTATCTGCAATTGACACCATAAAGATAAATGGGGACCTCCAGATCACTAAGCTCGGCTGATGTTTAAACCACCTCCAATTCAAATAGGATCAGGTGCCACAACTATCTGACTGTTAGTCTGGAAGAAGTGTCTTAACATCTGGAGACTTAAAAAGAAAACAAAAATGAAAGGCAAACTTCACGGTCTCTTCTTTGCAGTTTAAAACCAAAACGACAACTTCAACCAAGGTTTGCCCTTAGGAAGCTGTCGGAACAAAGACACCGAGCCATTATTCCCAGAACAAAGTAATACTTTTATGCTGGATTTTATTCAGACTAAACTGAAATGGATTTGTGATGATTTGTGATTTGGTAGCAAGTTATTCATCTTATCAAAGCAAGATGATGTTTAGAAACAAAAGTGCTAAAGACTTAAAATAACAACAACAAAGACGGTACACCGAAATCAACTCATTTCTGCACTGAAGTGGAATTGCGTAGCACAACCAACATTTTAGTCAGGGTATTAACATAGAATGTAGGTTGTTCAAGGTTTGTGTGGTTGTTTTTTGTTTTTGGGTTTTTTTTTTTTTTTTTTTTTTGCACAGCATAATGTTAAATCAGATTTTTAAAAGCTTTCTCATATTTATTTATACTCAACCTATGTATTAGAAAATGACTAATATCTCAAGAACAAGAAGTTAGCAACTTCTGAATGTACAAATACCTTAGGTCCAAAGGGGGAAGATACATATTACAATCATGAAACAAGTGAATTTCTACCTTAAAAGAATTGAGTCATATCCTCCAGACCCCTAAACTTAGGATCTCTTGAAATAAATTGCTGTAAGTGCTTTGGGAAGACTTTGCAACATTTCAGTAAAACTGCTTTTCTAGTTATTGATAATTAATGTAAAATTCTATTTCCATTGTTTTTTCTCCTTACTGTGAATTAGCACAGTATTGGCTTCCTTAAGACTGACAAGCTACTTTTCCTTAGATTTACATAATGGCTCCTTAAGTTGCTATTAAACTAATTGACAACATATAAGGTAATTACGTAGACAATTTTTAAATGACTGTTAAATAAATTTTTAAGAGTACAATATGAAAATGATTCTGGAATGAGGTGTAAAGCAGAAGCAAATGGCCCTAAATAACTTACTTGCAAATAATTTATATCAACTTAAGCTGTTAGCTCATTGTATCACTTTTATTATGTGACCCTCACCAGTATCCCTAAGCAATGCCTTTGCAGCTTCAGCGTGGAGGATGCTTCCTACTTTGTTGGCTCTGCTGAGATACTAGGAGAAGATGGGACCCAGATTAGGAAATAATCCGATTAGTTTGTCTGAAAGGTTAACTCCCAGAATTCTGGGTCTTTGAGTCCAGCCAGTAGTGTGAATGCTCCCAATTAAGCTGGAGGAGTTTCCCTGCACTGTGGAACTGATCAGCCAGCAGTGCCTCTCTGGGAGGAGCTTGCACTGCTGTAAATGTATGTCAAAGAGGCAAGGGATGGTTGGAGTCCTGGGTGCTGAGCTTCCCAAACTGCATTGGTTCTGGAGGGAAGGACCCTTCGCATTGCTTTGGTCAGGTAGTGGAGGGTGGGAAAAAGGGGTGCTGGGGTGGGGATGTATTTATATATAATTTAGGTTTTGTTTGTACAGCATACTGTGTCTTGTTATGACATGTCCTTGTCCTGCTTTGCTTTGAGTTTTTTTACACAACATGCAGAGGCACTGAAGTGGCCACATCATTTTCACGTGTCGAGAATGTAGACAGTGTTTCAGTACCAAAGTCTAAGAAAAAGAAAACTAAAATTGTGATTTTTTTTATAGGTGATATATTTGGATTCTTCTAACCTTTGAAACTGTTTAGCACAGTTCCAGTATGTTATATAAGAAGATTCTTTACCCAACAGGACTGGCTGAGCATTAAAAAGCATTGTGGACCAGCTGGCTTAATCAGCTATATTCAGCCAAAAAGCTGTTCTGTGGCTTCAGGTATTTCCAAACCTGTGATTGACATCTCGTGGCTCATAAAGCCATTAGATTTTGAGGAGTATTTGTAGAGAGACGTAGAGGGCACCCTGAAATAAATTTGTAGGGGTTTTGATTCTACTTATGATGGAAGAACCCATGAGAGGTTTCCTTTGAGTGGCCATCCATTCCCACCCACTGCATAATTCAGCAGAAACCAGAGGAGTTGGGAGTGTAACTGATTGGAAATGACACCCTGTACTCTCTACCTATCAGCTAACTGGTTAGCAGCCAAGCCCTTAGGCAGCTTAGTATAAAGATAGATTGCTAACCCTTCATTTCTCTATGAGGTCAGTGGGAACCGCTTTATTAAACCTATTGGAATTAAGCAAAATGATGTGATAGTTTGATTCAGCTATAGGTAAATTAGCAGGGACCTAATCTAGTTGTACTAATCTTTAGTTATAAACTGGAAACAATGTTTATACCCTGTCACCGGCTGAGGTCCAAGGTGGGAATTCAGAATGGAAAGTGCAATTTAAAGCTTCACAGGAAAGCATTTGGGTATGTAAGGAGTTATTTCTAACCAGAGTCCTCATTTTGCAATGTGACCAAAACCAAGGAATGTAATTAACAATCAGGCTCTGGGGGAATAAAAGGCAGGCTTTAGACAATCTGTCCATTTCTGCATGAAAATTGGAGTGAATGTTTGTATCTACTTAAAAGTTAATAGGAGTGACTTCTACTTTCTGGACTAGCCTAGAATTGTCTTAAAATTATTTTTTAGTTTTTAATTTGAAACCGCATTTCAAATTTTGCCAACCTCAATTCGAAGCTCTAACAGATCACTCTTAGAATTGATGGTGATTTGTTACAATGGCAAATCCTTTCATTTGTATTAAAAAGAAAATATCCAAAAAGAGGAAGGGAGTCCTGTTTCCTTGAGAGACACAGCCTTGGCATTTTCTAACACTAATGTAGAAATAATGTACCTCTGATGAGATATTTTCAAAGAAACACTTTCTTATTTACTGCGTGGTGTAAAATGTGCTAAATGTGTTCTTACATTATTATGTCACTGCTGAAAGTTATTTGCACTATAATAAAGGAATTTTTTACAAAATGGTTTCCAGTCGATAACGTGCTAAGTTTGGCACCAGGTGAGACATACTTACCATAGACCATCTATAGCAGTGCCCCCTCACTTCTACACTCATACTCCAAGACCAGGTGTCCCTGTGTGTCTCACATTGATAACCTGATCAAGGAAAGGAAATTGTCTCAGGGCCCTCAGAGACTTGATGAGTTTATGTTGTATATGCAGTGGATTCTTTTAAAATACAATTTACATACAGTAATTCACTATGGGTGGGTGAGTGGGTACAGTTCTATGAGTTTTAACACATGCATAGATTCATGTAAGTACCACCTCAATTGGAATATAGAATTATCCCATCACCCAAAAAATTCCCTTGTGCTACACCTTTGTAGTTAAACCCTAATTAGGCAATCACTGATTTGTTCTCCTTTCCTTTAGTTTTGCCTTTTCTGGGATGTCATATAATAAGAGGATCCTACAGTATGTAATCTTTTGAGTTGCCTTTTTCCATTATAATGCATTTGAGATTCATGTCATATGTAGAAATAGTTTTTCTTTGTTATTACTGAGTAGTATTCCACTGTATAAGTCTACCAATTTTTTAACCTCTTACTGGTTAAGGATACCGAGGGTTCTTAATAAACTGTAAAATACAGTCTTAGCCCAGTGTATTCAAAACCAAGACTGCATTTTGCTTGCCTTCTCTTTCCTGTGGTTTGAATGATGAGGAAGGAAACATAATCCCTTCGCTATTCTACCTACAAGGAAAATTGTGGCTTATAGAAGTTTACCTAGCTTCAGTTATGGGTGGTGAGTAGAGAAATATTTACTTACATGCTGGATCTAGGGTCCTACTTATTCCTAATTATTTTTAGTAATTTCTTCCTTTATTTTTAAAAACAATTTAAGGATACAAAGCTGTGAGGCTAGTCTCACAGCTTTTGCAGTTAAGTACAGGCAGGGAGAGGCCTATTAAGGCGGGGACAATTTACTGAGGCTGTTGGGCAGAGATAAAGAGAGCTTCTCCTGGCCCCTAGCCTAGCTAGGAAGGTCCCTTGGGGAATATGACATTTGTGAAGAAAACAATTTTCCCTGTTACCTAAATTCTAGCTGGGCCAATAATCAAATTAACAAGAAACAGATTAACATTAACAAGAGATTAAAATGTATTATGGATGTACATTCAGGGGTGCTGTAAGAGTGGGACTGGAACATGCATTGAACAGTTGAGGTTCATATGCCATTTTGGACAAAGGAGAAGGAGATAGGAGTCTGGGATTTCAAATAGCGGGTAATTTACAGGTAGATGGAGAAATAGCAAACATAAACAAATTCTTGCTGGGCCACCCAGAAACAATGGGATACAGAGGCAATTAACAAGCTTTGCTCAATTGCTTTCTTTGTCACATTTAGTTTATATTATGATGCTAAGTGATGGTCCCTTCCTTTAAGCAGGTTTTTCCAAGCAGGGAAGGGGGAGGATCAAAGGTTCTGAGTCTTTTGTTTCTTAATAACCAGTTTATAATCAATATCCCAAAAGGTATTTGGGGCAGCAAAACTTTGGTGTCACCTTCACATTAGACTTGTTTTAGGACATCATTTAGATTAGATGGTATGGGAGATCATAATTGGAGCCTCCAAGTGCCTCAGACACTTTCAACCTTCATTCATTCAACAGGTATTTATTGAGCTGTGTCAATTGCTGTTTTAGGCACCTGGATACATCAATGAATAAAACAGTCAAAGGTTTCTGGTGGTTTAAACTTGAGTGTGTGTAAGATGACCCAGAAAAATCTCCTTACAGAGCAGAAGTCCAGCCTCACCCCTGGAAGATTTTGTTTCAGTAGACCTAAAATAGGTCTCAGGAGTTTATATTTTTAAGAAACATCCTGGATGTTGTGGGTTTTCCTGGATCTCAAATTAAGCAGCTCTACCCTCAGGAATTCCATAAACATTTACTGAGTCAAACTGTGGAATTGTGCAGGGCTGTCAGATTCTGATCTTTGGATATCTTTATGTGAAAACTTTATTTCAACAAGGGGCAGCTCTGTCAAAAAAAAACACACAAAAAAACGCAGCTATCATTACAATGTTACAACTATATGTCATTATCCCTGATTTAACTTCTTTTTCTCCTGCCCTTGCCTCAAATATAAAACATTGTAGTAAAAGAAAATTATTTTCAATCAAGTTTTGTAAAAGTCCTCCTTGTCTGGGTTGATTTAGGACCTCAGTAGACCCCCTGACACCTATTTTAAACTGGATGCTCTGAGAAAAATGGGGGTTCTGGGGGAAGCCTACATTCCTCATGGGAAACATTGCAATTAGTTATTTATCACCAGGGAGAGTCTCCAGGGTGAAGCCCAACTGTTCTATAACACAAATGCATGAAGCGGTTTATATCTTGTAAAGAGAACAGGGGGCAAGTGATAATGGCCCAGATGAGCTGTTCATGGCATTTTTTAAATGAATTTAAGGTCTTCCTTTCACAGGAAAAGACAGTTGAGTTTATACAGGATACTAACTGCATGCTTGTTTTGCTTCCTAATCACCATGTTCATTTTACAACAATTTTTCCCTAAAAAAAAGTCTTCAAAAAGCAAAGAACTGCCTTGCAAGCTATATACTTCATAATTAAACTGGGCGTATACACAAGGTGCTGAAACAATACTCAACCAAGAGAAAGGGAAGATGCTTTTTCTTGCTTTGATACACCCTTCCATCTCCCAGGGAAAGATGGTGACTAGGTGAGCAAACATAGGTGGTAAGAAAGTGTTATCATCATAATTAGCTAGTTATTAATATTAGTAATAGAGAGCAAAGGGGGAGCCAGATATTGTAAGCATGGTCATCTGGGCAGCTTTTCCAGGAAGCTACAGCTTCACACTCCCCAGTAAAACACCAGCCCATTCCCTGCAGATCACTGGGGGAAGGGATCAAACAAAGCGGGAGATGGGCCCATGAACAGTGAAGTCGGGGTGATGTAGGGAAGGTATTTGCCTGTCAGTCTAACCTGCGAAAAAGAGCATTGGCTAGGAGGGTAAAGTCACTGCAAGCATGGGAAATCTTGAAAGAGTAAAATCCCCAAAGTTTTGCACTGTGGTTCCCCCTTACTTCCCATTGCTCCATGACCCACACTCACCTGCCAAGTGGCCTTAAGCAGCTGCCTGGCCCATGACCGTGTGAATACCACATGCTATGGACTGTAGCTGGGAACACAATCTAAGCTAGCCAGATACTAGTCTGGACTGGATTTTACTATGGAGCAGAAATTCTGAGCAATAGCCTTAATCCTGGCACTGCCGAAAACATGGTGGGGCTTTTCCATGGCAGGGCAGATGGAGGTGGAACCTCCAAGAGGAACTCCCTTAACTTTACATCGTTAATAAAGCTTTCCGTGAAACCCAATCTTCCTGTGGGAGCCTCAGGAAAGTATTTTCCCATGGCACCCCAAGAACTCCACTTCCACCTGTAACAGAAGGAGGCATCATTGTTTGATAGGACAACACAGACAGTCCCTAAATAATGGGCCCTGAGAAGCCACAGGCTGTGGGGCTGGTGTGGGTTTTGGAGGGCCTTTCAAGCTTCCGCATGTAAGAATGATAACAAACGTTTGCTAATAACTCCAGCACCTCCCTTTCTGTTGCTCATCTGTCATCAATTCTAAAAAGACAGAGGCAAATATCAAATCTTACCTAAACAGTTGGTTTGGGAACAGGAGGAAGAGAAGCAATGATCTTGTGTCTTTCGTGAGGACAAGAAAAGATGGGAACTGGATGTTGGGCCTCAGGGATTTCTTGTGTGTGGTCTGGTGGGTACTTTATTTTATTTTATTTTATTTATTTATAATCCTCACCTGAGGACATTTTTCGATATTTTGTTCAGATAGAGTGGGAGGGAGAAAGAGAGAGAGAAACATCCACATGAAAGGAACACATCGAGTAGTTGCCACCTGCACGACCCAATCAGGGCCGGGGACAAACTACAACCGAGGTACACGCCCTTAGCGGGAACTGAACCCGGGTCTCTCTGGACCTCAGGCTGATGCTCTAACCGCTGAGCCAAATCGGCCAGGGCTATTTTATTTATTTTTAAATATGTTTTCATTGATATTAGAGAGAGAGGAAGGGAGGGAGGGAGGGAGAGGGAGAGGGAGAGGGAGAGGGAGAGGGAGAGGGAGAGGGAGAGGGAGAGGGAGAGGGAGAGGGAGAGGGAGAGGGAGAAATATCAATTAGCTGCATTGGTTGCCTCCCACATGCCCCTACTGGGGATCAAGCCTACAACGCCAGCAGGTGCCCTGACTGGAACTACAACCGGTGACCTCTTGGTGCATGGGAGACGGTCAACCAACTGACCCACACCAACCAGGGCTCTAATGGGCACTTTAAACCCCCAGTCTTAATTCGACTCTGATAGGAAATGGAAATAATGACACCTGTGATGTGTTTGAAGCACAAAGACTGACAGGTTGTACAGGGATAAAACATTTTTATAGCTGGTAATTCCAGAGTTATATAATAATCATGATACCATTTCTATAATAATCCTCCACAACTTTGTAAAGAAACAGTATTAAAAGTGTAAATCCTGAGACTGTGTCTAATTCTTTGGAATATGCTCTTTATATAAATTCATTGAAATCTATTTTATTTAAATTCTATCCCAAATTGGCAGTGTGTTAGACAAAATTTAGAATTATATTTGTAAAATGTGCTTAGGAATTTTTCTTACTCTGAATTATAGCTGTCTCAATATTACAAAGCACATTTTTCTCCTAATACAATAAAAATGATCTTTAGTTCAGCATAAAATGATTTTTAGTGTTATTTTAAAACGTGAACAAGGGAGATATGCACAAAATGATGAATAACCATTGAAAACAATTTTTTTTCTATGAGAATCTTCATGGAGTAGTGTGGTCTGTTACTATAAGATTCTAATTAGCCATTCATTTATTCCACACTTTTAAACCCTCAAATAAAAAACCTATACGCACTATGAAGCACAAAACCACAGTCCCTTTATTTGAGAAGGTTGGAAATAGACACACTCTCAGAAGGCTCTCACTGAAGTCAAATATTGGGGATACCTCACAATTTGGGTGTTTTTTTAAGTCAACTAACATTCTCTTTGCTTTTGTAAATAGTGTAAGTTTCTGACTTGAGAGTCCCCTTGCAATCCTCAGTAACTCGAAGTTAAGTAAATGATTTTAAAATTTTCACTTGCTAAGATGAAAGGGCAAATAT